GCAGTACTTCCTGCTGGTTGTCAACGACTACTCGCGTTACACCACGGTCTTCCTCTTGCGCAGCAAGGGGGAGGTCCCTGATGTTTTGATCCCTTGGATCCGCGCTGCCCGTCTCCAGCTCCGCGAGCGGTTCGGGACGGAGTTTCCCGTCCTGCGTCTGCATTCTGACAGAGGTGGTGAGTTCTCCTCAGACCTCTTGGCAGCCTTCTGTGCAGAGCACAACATCCGCCAGACGTTCACGCTTCCGGCCTCTCCGCAGCAGAATGGGGTTGCTGAGCGCCGCATTGGCTTAGTCATGGAGGTCGCTCGTACCTCCATGATCCATGCGGCTGCCCCCCATTTTCTGTGGCCGTTTGCGGTCCGGTACGCCGCGCATCAGCTAAACCTCTGGCCCCGTGTCTCCTTGCCGGAGACCTCGCCCACACTGTTGTGGACGGGGAAGGTTGGCGATGCGTCGCGTTTCCGGGTCTGGGGTGCTCGTGCCTTTGTCCGCGATACCACCGCGGACAAGCTCTCCGCCCGCGCTGTTCCCTGTGTCTTCCTTGGCTTTGTCCCTGACGCACCTGGTTGGCAGTTTTACCACCCCACCTCGCGCCGTGTCTTTGCGTCTCAGGACGTCACGTTCGACGAGTCGGTTCCCTTTTACCGTCTCTTCCCCTACCGCACTGCCCCTCTCCCCCCCCCGCCGCTCTTCCTCGCTCCAGGTGCTCCCCAGGTAGACCCCCTCCCCGCTCCCGGTCCTGCTCCTTCAGGTGTGTCTCAGGTAGACCCTCCTCCCTTGACTGCGCCAGTCGAGGTCACTGGTGACTCAAGTCTTGCTGGGGGTGGTCCTGCTCGGGGTGCTACTTCTGGGGGTGCTGAGCCTGGGGGTGCGCCGCCTGGGGGTGCTGGGCTTGGAGGTACTGAGCCTGGGGGTGCGGAGCTTGAGGGTGTGGAGCCTAAAGGTGCTGAGCCTGCGTGTGAGGGGTCTGGGGGTGCTGAGTCTGGCGGTTTTGAGTCTGGGGGTACTGCGCCTAGGGGTGCTGAGGCGTCTGGTGAGCAGTCTCCCTGGAGCGGCCGTCTCCGTAGTCGCTCCGCTGGTGCCTCGCCGCTGCCCTCTCGTCGTCGACCCCCTCTCTCCTCAGTGCAGCTGCGTGAGTGGTACGTTAGCCGTCAGGGTCGCGCTGCTGGAGCTGGGGGCCCTCCTGCGGGAGGCGCTGGAGCTGGTGACACTGTTCCTCGAGCTGTTTCTACTGGAGGCTCTGCGGCTGCTGAGGGTGCGGGCGCTGGAGGTTCTGGAGCTGCTGGAGGTCCTGGTGCTGGTGGCGCTGGAGCTGGTGGTTCTGGGGCTGCTGAGGGTGCGAGCGCTGGAGGTTCTGGAGCTGCTGGAGGTCCTGGTGCTGGTGGCGCTGGAGCTGCTTAGGGTGCTAGCACTGAGGGTGCTGGCACTGGAGGTTCTGGAGCTGTTGGGGGTGCTGGCGCTGAGGGTTCTGAGTCTGCTGTTGCGCGGTCTCCTTGGAGTAGCCGCCTTCGTCCGCGTGTGCCTCTCACCTCACAGCAGCTACACGACTGGTACGGTCGCCGTCAGGGTCGCGCTTCTGGAGCTAGGGGCTCTGCTACTGGAGGTACTTCTGCTGCCGTCACTGGAGCTGGGAGTGGTGCTGGTCCCGGAGGTGCTCGTACTGGGGGTACTGGAGCTGCTGGGGCTGGAGGTGCTGAGCCTGCGGGTGCTGCTGCTGGAGACACTGCGGTTGGAGACCCTGGGACTGGGGGTGCAGGTTCTGGGGGTGCTGCTGCTGGTGGAGCTGGTCCTGGAGGAGCTGGTGCTGAGGTTTCTGGAGCTGCTGGAGGTGCTGGAGCTGCTGGGGGTGCTGGAGCTGCTGGTGCTAGTGGCACTGCGCAGCCGCGCCTGACTCTGTGCTTCGCCAGGTTCTTAGTCTCCCTTCGTCTACTGGTCTTCCGTTACAGCCTTGCTCACCGCTGCCTGCTCCTTCTCCTTACACTGAGCAGGCAGGGGGTCTTGCTGAGTGTCGTGAGCCTGCGTCGCGTCCTGTCTCGCCTGTTCGTCCTGGTCGTACCGGTCGTCGTGTTCCTCGTCCGCGTCAGCCGGCTGTCCCCGGCACACGCCTTGTAGCCCTGCGTCGGTCCCCTACTCCGGAGCGTACTCCTCTTCCGTCTCCCCCTGCGTCCTCTTTGCCTGACGTCGCGGACCCTGAGTCTGACCGGTTTCGTGCTGAGCACCCTACTATCACGCGTCTGCTAGCCACTATTGTCACTGACCCGTCGTTTGAGTCTGCTGCTGCGTCTGCCCTGGTCGCTGAGCTTGTTGACTTTGCTGCTGCTTGTCGTCTAGACTACGCTGCTAGTCTTGTTGCTGAGTTTGAGTCTGTCTGTCCTCCGTCCGTCGGGGGTGAGTGTGCTCTTGGCACGGACGTCCTTGAGGACAGGCACGAGGACCTTGAGTGTCTTGCAGCCGCTGCGCCTCATCTCGTGGCCATGCTGCTTGCCCCTGAGGGAGACCCGGATGCTATAGACATCCCGACCCCGCGCTCTTACGCTGAGGCGATCGCGGGTGAGTACTCCTCTCACTGGCAGACAGCCATGGACGCAGAGATGGCATCCTGGAAGTCCACAGGCACTTACGTCGATGAGGTTCCCCCTCCCGGGGCGAACATCGTCGATGGCATGTGGATTTTCAGGGTGAAGCGGCCGCCGGGTTCTCCGCCTGTCTTCAAGGCTCGTTACGTTGCTCGAGGCTTCAGTCAGCGAGAGGGAGTCGACTTCTTCCAGACCTTCTCCCCCACCCCGAAGATGACCACTCTTCGGGTGCTGTTGCACGTTGCCGCTCAGCGTGACTACGAGCTTCACTCCCTGGACTTCAGCACAGCCTTCTTACAGGGCAGCCTGCACGAGGAGATCTGGCTGCGCCGCCTACCTGGCTTCACTGGGTCGTTCCCTCCTAGTACCCAGTGGAGCCTCCGGCGGCCAGTCTACGGTCTCCGCCAGGCGCCTCGTGAGTGGCACGACACACTGAGGACTACACTTACGGCTCTTGGGTTTGCTCCTTCGACTGCTGACCCGTCGCTGTTCCTGCGCACCGACACTTCGCTGCCGCCGTTCTACATCCTCGTGTACGTCGACGACTTGGTCTTTGCCACTGCTGACACTGAGGCTCTCGCCCTGGTGAAGTCGGAGCTGCAAAAGAGACACACGTGCACAGACCTGGGTGAGTTGCGCAGTTACCTTGGCTTGCAGATCACCCGGGACAGAGCACGCCGCACCATCACTCTGACTCAGTCACACATAGTGCAGCAGGTCCTTCAGCGCTTCGGCTTCACCTGGTCCTCGCCACAGTCCACTCCTCTGGCTACAGGTCACTCGCTCTCAGCTCCACCTTCGGACGAGTCCGTAGAGCTGAGTGGTCCTTACCCGGAGTTAGTGGGCTGCCTCATGTACCTGATGACCTGCACTCGTCCTGACCTCGCGTACCCTCTTGGCCTTCTGGCACGCTACGTGGCTCCTGGTCGGCACCGAAAGGTGCACATGGATGCTGCGAAGAGGGTACTGCGTTACTTGTGCAGTACATCGGGCATGGGGCTCGTGCTTGGAGGGCGGAGAGACGTGGTCCTCACTGGGCACTCAGACGCTTCTTGGGTTGACGACCAGGCTACACAGCGGTCGTCACAGGGTTACACTTTCAGCCTTGGCTCTGGTTCTGTTTCTTGGCGTTCTACTCGCTCGTCTCCAGTTGTGAGGCTGAGATCTACGCCACCGCCATGGCTGCTCAGGAGTTACGCTGGCTCACCTACCTGCTGACCGACCTGGGAGAGCGGCCTCGTTCTCCTCCAAGGCACTTCCGTCTGGTGATCATCAGCGCTTTTGTACTTTGCTAGGCCTTGTGCCTACGTTTCCACACTTACTGTAGCCTTTGTATGTACTGTGCTCTATATGTATACCTGCATGCTTGCTCGTGCTAGGTATTGATCATTGTACTGCTCTTGTTGCAAATACCGTATAGTTCTGGCTAGAAGACCCGCCGGTAAGAAGGTCCCCCGGGACTCTTGAACGGGTAGGGGGACTCTTATTGTGGCAGATTTTGTGAGGACCCCCCCTTAGCCCCTAATTATCATAAGACCCCCCTTTTCTGTATACACTGGTTATAATTGCTATTGTGCATCAGTTTTTACTGGAACATGTTCAAATTCTGGCACATTTTTTGTGTCAGACTCGAATTCTGACACTCTACTGACGGGTCGCTCGCGCGAAATTCGCGCGAATTCGTTACAAATATAAGACCCCCCCACCCGAACTTGAGCTGTACACCCTAAAAAGCAGATTGATAAGAGACAAATAGGTGTACCTCGGGTCTTAAAATTTTGCAACCGCCAAGATGTCCACCCTAGCAGTTTTTCAAGCAATTCTAGAGAGTCCCCCGGGTCTTCTAGCCGGAACTATACGGTATATATTCAACTCTGCATGTGAACTGGTCTTGTGGCCCTTTGCTTGTGCTCAGTGTGTGTGGTGACGTTGTGATCCACCCTGAGCTTGTTTTGCGTTTCTTGACTGGTCTTGTGACCCCTTGTTCTCCCCCACTTTGCCTATGGGGGTGTGTCAAACTGTATATGTTATATACTTGTGTAGGCTGTAGTGGGGTAGCCCATAAAGGGTACAACCCAATGTTAGGGTTAGGATATGTACCCAACTCTGTTTCAATTCAAGTCATTCCTGTCTCTAGTTTCTAACATGTAGTCATTATTATCAACTGTTTGGTGGTGTACCATCTTCTCTTGCCTATTTGTACTTCATTCTTCATAGTGAACCCCCCTCTTTCTTTGGCCAAACACTTCCCTCTCGACCCTCACGTTCTACTCTAGGCTCCTAAGCCTATGCTTACTTTGACATCATTGCATCCCCAGTGCCTAAATTCGAACTTTACGAGTTTGTTTGAACCCTTGAAAGTACATTACTAGTGGAACTTCTACAACTCACAAGCCCTTTTTTACGGATGAACAAGCCAGGATTTATTCAAACGCTCTATTCAGCTGGTACTTTGTAAAGAATCTCACAATTTGGGTGTACACATCCATAACAACAGAAGTGGCGAACAGGAAATCCAGGTGTGCATAATCTGGAATGTAGAGCACCTCCTCGGGTCGTCGTGTCAGCTTGGAAATGAGCCATTCCACGTCAGCAGGCACTGCTAGGGAGTCTCTACCACCGTACGCTATAGCGAGCCGTGTTGTAGAGGGGAAATCTGAGGCACGAAAGAATGGCGGTGTGCTTTGATGGTATCGCAGCCAGTTCTTAATGAATCCGTAGTCAAACTGCTTCCACTCTCCCGAGCGAACCACTGACAAGGATTGGGTTAAGTGATATAGGACACAGGGTAGAAGGAAGTAAACACATGCAGAGGTAATGGAATCAGGAAAAAGTAAATAGCAGGAACTACCGTATGAAAAGAGGATCAGTTTTCACATGGTGTGCTAGCTCCAATGGAAACATTTTTTAGTTGACTCAAAATAGGATACATGGTGTACAAGGTTCAATGGAAACATCAGCAAGGCACTGGGTGACGGTGCAGAGATTTGTTATGGAAGAAATCCACTGCATTCTTGTACATCAGAATGCAAAACAAAAGCCACAAGACTGTACTTACTCTGGCCGAAATGAGCCATGTTCTTGACAGACGATGCGAGAGGGAACCAGGGGACAAGCTTGGCAATGTACCGAATGTCAATGCAGCAGTTGGGACCTGTGCGGTGGAGGGTGAGTGCATGGGAAAGAAGCAGAAGGTTAGTGCAAGGAACTTAAAAGGAAGGTTACCACATCGTTATATATATAAATCTCTATACCGACAGAGTTCGTTTATGGGGGACTAAATGGGGAGGGAAGAGAGAAATGATTTTACAGCAACTGGAGTGAATCTTCGGAGCAACAAAAGACAAAAGAAAAGAGGAGATTTGGAAATCCACGCGAACAGATACACAACAAAACAAATCACACAAGTACTCAGCTGCTCAGAGGTGAGGTGGTGAGGCAGTGAGGTGGTGAGGTTGTGAGGCAGTGAGGTTGTGAGGCAGTGAGGTGGTGAGGTGCATCCATGCCTGTGAATGCGGAGAGCAGGGAGGAGCAGTTGATGCGAGGAGAGGCGCAGGCGGTGGCAACCACCAGCTCGCCCAATGCACTGGTGAGAGGAAGTAAGGGGTCACACATGGAGGGGTGGCGCGTGGAAGAGTGGCACGTGGGGGATTCACACTTGGAGTGGCACGTGGGGGATTCACACTTGGAGTGGCACTGGAAGAGTGGTACAGGAAGTGGGCTGCTGCAATGGCAGCCAGCATCTTGCATAATGCACCGAAGGAGAGTGGGTGGCACATGGAGAATCATCCAGCAACAAGGGGTGACACAGGAAGGGGTGGCACGGAAAGGGGTGGCACGGGAAGGGGTGGCACATCAAGAAGGCACATGAGCGTGGTACACGAAGTGGGAGCCTCCAGTGGCACCCACAAGCTCGCCGAATGTAACATACTGATCACCTGACGGAGCGTTCACTCCTCGCTGCACTCATACCCTCACAGCACTTGTGCACTCCTTGCTGCACTCACTTGCGCAGGCTGAACTCGTGTAGACGCGTTGCTCTCACCAGACACCAGCTGGAGGGGATGGAGGAAAAGCGGAGGAGGGCAAGGAGAGGGAAGTCCTCACACCCTCACAGCACTCTCACAATACTTACAGCCTTGCAGCACTCACTTGCGCAGGCTGAACTCGTGTAGACGCGTTGCTCTCACCGGACACCAGCTGGAGGGGATGGAGGAAAAGCGGAGGAGGGCAAGGAGAGGGAAGTCCTCACACCCTCACAGCACTCTCACAATACTTACAGCCTTGCAGCACTCACTTGCGCAGGCTGAACTCGTGTAGACGCGTTGCTCTCACCAGACACCAGCTGGAGGGGATGGAGGAAAAGCGGAGGAGGGCAAGGAGAGGGAAGTCCTCACACCCTCACAGCACTCTCACAATACTTACAGCCTTGCAGCACTCACTTGCGCAGGCTGAACTCGTGTAGACGCGTTGCTCTCACCAGACACCAGCTGGAGGGGATGGAGGAAAAGCGGAGGAGGGCAAGGAGAGGGAAGTCCTCACACCCTCACAGCACTCTCACAATACTTACAGCCTTGCAGCACTCACTTGCGCAGGCTGAACTCGTGTAGACGCGTTGCTCTCACCAGACACCAGCTGGAGGGGATGGAGGAAAAGCGGAGGAGGGCAAGGAGAGGGAAGTCCTCACACCCTCACAGCACTCTCACAATACTTACAGCCTTGCAGCACTCACTTGCGCAGGCTGAACTCGTGTAGACGCGTTGCTCTCACCAGACACCAGCTGGAGGGGATGGAGGAAAAGCGGAGGAGGGCAAGGAGAGGGAAGTCCTCACACCCTCACAGCACTCTCACAATACTTACAGCCTTGCAGCACTCACTTGCGCAGGCTGAACTCGTGTAGACGCGTTGCTCTCACCAGCTGGAGGGGATGGAGGGGAAGGGAGACGAGGGGAGGGGGAAGGGAGACGAGGGGAGGGGGAAGGGAGCGGGGAGGAGTGAGGAGAGAAAACGGGTGAGGAGAAAGTGTGGTGGTGGAGGGGAACTCGAAGGTGTCCTCTGGTGGATGGAGGAGACACGGTGTGATCTGTTGCTGTTATCTCCATGTGAGGCAAAAGAGAATGTTTGAGAATTCTCAAGTATACCCCAGTGGCATACTGATGGAAGGGAAGGGACCTGGTGTGATGTGTACTGATGATAATCTCCACGTACGTGCATGAAGCTTTGGGGTGAGAGGGTACAAATATGAGATGTGGGGTGAGTGGACAGGGGTATTGAATGTGGGTCGTTGTTGGGTATGCAAGACCCCCTGGGAAAGAAGAACATTGTAAATGCACAGCGCTCACCCACAAACAGTGAGGCAAGACAGGTAAGAGATTTCACTTGGTCTTGGTGGGAGAAAATAAGCCAGAAAAGGACCTCACCCGTTCAAGGTCAAGCTTGGCTGCTTCGCGGGCAATAGGTGAGGAGAGGTGTGCGAGGGACGTGACAGAAGAAGTTACAGGGAAAACGAGAAGGCGAGGCATGCCGCATGGGGAACACAGAGTGGTTCAGAGGGGTGCGGATGTCACCCGGTCTAGGTTGAGCTTGGCTGCCTCATGGGCAATGGGCGAAGAGCGGTGAGGGAGGGAGGTGACAGGGGCGCGGAGGAAGGCACACGCAGGAAGACCAGTCACGCAGGAAGACCAGTCACGCAGGAAGGCATGCAGGCAGCATGGCTGTCTCATGAGCGATGGGCGATGAGAGGTGTGCCAAGGAGATGACAGGGGAAAAGAATGAAAACAAGAGAGGGCGTGGCATGCCGCATGAGGATAAACACAGAGTGGTTCAGACCAGTGAGGATCTCACCCAGTCTAGGTCGAGCTTGGCTGCCTCGTGGGCGATGGGGGAGGAGAGGTGTGCGAGGGAGGTACAGGGGCGAGGAGGAAGGCATGCAGGCAGCATGTGTGGGTAGTGAACGCACATCCCACAGGCTTACAAACCTCACCCGGTCTAGGTCGAGCTTGGCTGCCTCGTGGGCAACGGGCGAGGAGAGGTGAGCGAGGGAGGTGACAGGGGCGAGAAGGAAGGCTGCCGCGATGGTGGAAGAGGGGAGGTAGCCGACAGAAAGAGCGGAGAGAAAGGTGAGCGTGCCCTGACAAAGGGGGGGAGAAGGAAAAAGGAGGAGGACGAAGGGGGAAAAGGGGGAAGAATGGGGAAGAATGGAGTGGGCAGTGAGAGGGCATGAAGTGACAGGGTGAGGAGAAGGAAGAAGAGAGAGGCGAGAAACATGGCAAGCACAGAAACGGGCATGAAGTGGCAGTGTGCTGCTGCACAGAAGCACACCTGCTCAGAAGAGCAGTCACACGACAGCACACCAGCACATGGTGGTACAGCAGCACATGGTGGTACAGCAGCACATGGTGGTACAGCAGCACATGGTGGTACAGCACATGGTGGTACAGCAGCACATGGTGGTACAGCAGCACATGGTGGTACAGCAGCACATGGTGGTACAGCAGCACATGGTGGTACAGCAGCACATGGTGGTACAGCAGCACATGGTGGTACAGCAGCACATGGTGGTACAGCAGCACATGATGGTACAGCAGCACATGGTGGTACAGCAGCACATGGTGGTACAGCAGCACATGGTGGTACAGCAGCACATGGTGGTACAGCAGCACATGGTGGTACAGCAGCACATGGTGGAACAGCAGCACATGGTGGTACAGCAGCACATGGTGGTACAGCAGCACATGGTGGTACAGCAGCACATGGTGGTACAGCAGCACATGGTGGTACAGCAGCACATGGTGGTACAGCAGCACATGGTGGTACAGCAGCACATGGTGGTACAGCAGCACATGGTGGTACAGCAGCACATGGTGGTACAGCAGCACATGGTGGTACAGCAGCACATGGTGGTACAGCAGCACATGGTGGTACAGCAGCACATGGTGGTACAGCAGCACATGGTGGTACAGCAGCACATGGTGGTACAGCAGCACATGGTGGTACAGCAGCACATGGTGGTACAGCAGCACATGGTGGTACAGCAGCACATGGTGGTACAGCAGCACATGGTGGTACAGCAGCACATGGTGGTACAGCAGCACATGGTGGTACAGCAGCACATGGTGGAACAGCAGCACATGGTGGTACAGCAGCACATGGTGGTACAGCAGCACATGGTGGTACAGCAGCACATGGTGGTACAGCAGCACATGGTGGTACAGCAGCACATGGTGGTACAGCAGCACATGGTGGTACAGCAGCGTGAGGAAGGTGGATGGAACTGATGTGGACAGGAGATGCACGCACCTGTGAGTGGCCCACGTAGAAAACCTGCCTCCCTTCCGTGTGAGAGGGTGTGAGGATGTAGTTGCACTGGCAGGTCATGTGGCAAGGCAAGCAACGCACCTGCAAGAGGCAAGCAACGCACCTGCAAGGGGCAAGCAACGCACCTGCAAGGGGCAAGCAACGCACCTGCAAGGGGCAAGCAACGCACCTGCAAGGGGCAAGCAACGCACCTGCAAGGGGCAAGCAACGCACCTGCAAGGGGCAAGCAACGCACCTGCAAGGGACAAGCGACGCACCTGCAAGGGGCAAGCAACGCACCTGCAAGGGACAAGCAACGCACCTGCAAGGGACAAGCAACGCACCTGCAAGGGGCAAGCGACGCACCTGCAAGGGGCAAGCGACGCACCTGCAAGGGGCAAGCAACGCACCTGCAAGGGGCAAGCAACGCACCTGCAAGGGGCAAGCAACGCACCTGCAAGGGGCAAGCAACGCACCTGCAAGGGGCAAGCAACGCACCTGCAAGGGGCAAGCAACGCACCTGCAAGGGGCAAGCAACGCACCTGCAAGGGGCAAGCAACGCACCTGCAAGGGACAAGCGACGCACCTGCGAGTGCCCCACGTAGAACACCTGCCTCGCTCCTGTGTGAGAGGCTGCCAGGATGTAATCAATCTGTGCTGGAAGGTCATGGCGTGCCATGTCCGCCCACGTCCACTCCCAGTACTCCTGCACGCATGCATGGAGAGGCGTGCATGTGTGCCACTTTTGAGACGTCTCAAAACTCCCAGTACTCCTGCATGCACGCATGGAGAGGCATGCATGTGTGCGCACACGCGATGGCATGAGAGGACATAAGATGGCATGAGATGAGATGCCAGGTCTCTGAATGGCAGGTCATGGCGGGCCATGTCCGCCCACGTTCACTCCCAGTACTCCTGCATGGAATGAGGGGGGATGTGCAAGGAGTGCAAGGGTTGGGCATGGCATGGCATGGCATGGCATGGCATGGCATGGCATGGCATGGCATGGCATGGCATGGCATGGCATGGCATGGGCTGCTACTCGAGTCGAGCTCTCAACTCGCGGGCCACATGATAGTGAATTGTTTTTGAGACGTCTCAAAATCAAATTACTATCAAGGTGAGAGGCATGGCATGGGCTGCTACTCGAGCTCTGAACTTGCCGGCCCGCACCTGCTGTTGAGGCGCCTCAAACCTATGATGGATTTGACGCCAGATTCAGAAAATTTCAGGAGTCAAAACGTGGCGTTTTGACGTTTGACGCGTCAAAGCGTCAAAACGCTTGACTCTCTGGCCAAATTTTTCCGGGCAGCTCGAAATCGAAAAAAACGCCAATGTGCTATGTAATTGATGGAGAACGAGGCAAACTTGGATGCTTTTACTTATGAAGTACTTCTTTTTCATGACTGCCCCACATATCCTACAACTCCTGCTCCCCAACCCCCCCACCACCCAACTTCTCTTACTAACCCCCCTGTTCCCAGTTCTTTACCCCTGCCCGGGAGTTTTTTTTGCCTGCCCGCCAGAGCGTCAAACTGGGGGGTACCCCTGGGACAGGGGGCGTCAAGAGAGTCAAAACGCTGAGCGCGTCAAATCCATCATAGCCTCAAACATCAGCAATCCCCTCCCGTACCCCCCTTCCCTTCCTTCCCCCTTCCCAACGCCTTCCCCTCCCCCCCCCAACCTTATCCTTGGGCTGCCACCTCGTGTGTCCGTAGCTCCACGGTCCGCACCTGCTGTTGAGGCACCTCAAATATCGATCCTCCCCTCCCGTGCCCTTCCTTCCCTCCCCCCTCCCTCCCCAACCAAACCCCGCTACCCCCCCCCTCCCCCCACCTTATTCTCGGGCTGCCATCTCGTGTGTCCGTAGCTCCACGGTCCGCACCTGCTGTTGCCGAGCCACACCTCGAATCCAAGCCTGGCGAGCAGGAACGGCAGGGAGATGCCGGGTGGGCCAACAACCCAACTCTCGGCTCCCTGGCGTGTGGCGTGGGTGGGGAGGGAGGTCATGTTATGCAGTGCAAGTGTGCATGGAACTTAGAGGAAACTCATGGGTAACTTTTAATGAGCAGCGCACTCTCGTTCGGCATCTTAGCTCTCGGCTCCCTGGCGAGTGGCGTGGGTGGGTGGGTGGGGAGAGAGGTAGTGGTGTGAGTAAGCGTGGATGAAAGGGGTTAAGGGCGGCTTCTACAAAAGCAGCAAACCCAGCTCTCGACTCATTGTCGAGTGGCGTGGGTGTGAATATGCGTTGCGGGGTGATGAAACAAATTATGCGAGGTATCGTGACGAAATATGTCTGATGAGATGCAAAATGATGGGGGAAAGTGGGAACGCAAGGTGTGAGCGTGTGTGGACTAACTATACTCAAGCTTCAGAGGCTTCAACAGGACCAACCAGGAACAGCCCATGCTGGAGCAGCACCGGCCCTCGAGACACGCCCCTCCCGTTTCCCCCACTCGTTATATTCACATCAGAAGCAGCTCCTCTCGCGTCCAGCTGGCGACTCGTTACTCTCTGGAGGCCCAGGATAAAGCCGTCCCGTGTTACCACCTGCCACCCACGGACGACAGAAGCGTATCATCATTAAGGAAGGACCGTCCATAAGCTAAACCGAGAACCATGAGATTTTTTTTGTTGGACAGGGGGAGGCACATGTACATAACTTCAAGTAGTAACCGTTTTCAGGTTGGCCTGTTAAAAGTGGGTACTTAAAAGCAAGCCGGCATGTGTGGAACTTGAAATGCGAAGCCGGCACAGAGTGATTCAAAAAGGAGTTTCTCAATGACCTTGTAAGAATAAACGTCGAAACAGAGGTTCGGGTGCACGAATTCCCTCAACACTTTCAAGTAATGAAGATTATTTCGCAATATCTCTCTCGTAACTGTCACGCGTGCTGGAAGAAACTCCTCATCATACAAGCGCTCGTTACACTCACACGGTGATCCTCGCACATGAAGCCTTGCGGCTCCACCAACTCGCGGCACACGCGAGAAGCATCATCGTTGCCCGATGAATCTGTGACAGATTTTGAACGGTCAGGATCTTCAGATGCAGCTTTAGTGGCGCGGGAGGAACCATCATTAACGGCGGTTGCTGAGAGGCGAAAGGAGTTGCTACAGGAGACCCTCGAGATTGCCGACAGAGCGAGAAGCGAGAGGACAATAAGAGGAACGAGTCGCGAGGTCCGCGGAAAGAGGAGGGGAACGCGACAAAACTGCGGAGCGGTTCTCAGCAAGTGGAAGCAGGAGACTAGCGCCATGTGTGGTTTCTCAAATTCCTCTACCACATGTGAGTATGACTAGCTCTTCTATGGAAGTGCTCTGTAAACTGCAGGAGACTTGGTTGGTAAGGGGCTCTGCCGCCGCAATGACACAATTGTATTCGTTATGACTCATGCGATAACAGTACAAACGGCAACTGGAACAGCGTGATAAACTACCTTGTTTGAGAGGTTTGAGACGGTGTGCAGCAGTTACACTACGGTTCCTGTCAGCGTACCTCGAAAAAAGTTTGGGGCGGACGATGGCTCTTTACTAGCTTCTCCGAAAACTAATCGGCAAGCATCGTGTAGGATACGAATGAACAAAACTGTCGAAGCTAGCCCGCATTCTCTGCATTACTGTTTCCAAAACTCCAAATCTGGGATTAGGGTTTCAAACTAAAACGGACCAATCAAAGTGCACCATTACAATATCGCACCTTGGAATTATCTTCACCATCTTCATGGCTTCTCTTCATCTCTCTAATCTAGCTGCAAGCATTTCTGCATCAAGCGAACAATTGTTTCTCCTAACTCGCTCTAGAGTGGCACAATCTCGCTCGAATTACAATTGATAACTCTGTCAACCAAGCTCGCAATATTGACTGCCGCTGGCCAATAACTTCGTGCCACCTGTGCAGCCATTAGTGCCATTATTTCCGACTATCCGCCTTTCTGTAGATCCTTACATCTACTGCTAACAGTTTTTTTTTTTTTTTGGAAAGTTGATATTTTGGAAACTAGCTTATTGCAAAAATGCACTGGGAGAAAATAGAGATCAAGGTGAAGCGTCAAGAGCCCATCCCAGGCAAATCGCCGGGGAGGAAAGGCGGCAAGCACGGACCAGGGAGGAAATGGGGTCATACGCTAAATGCCGTCAACTATGGTCGTCAGGTGTACGTCTTCGGAGGTTATGGCAAGGACGAGCGGCAGACAAACGACGTCTACGTGTACAACACAAGTACGATCGCCTCGTCGTAAAGTCGTCTTCCCGTCTAGCTAGCCTCGCGATCTGTTTTGCGTTTGTTTCATCTTCCCGTTGAGGAGAGAAGGGTTCATCGAAATGCGGGAAGGCTCGATCGTTACGAGATCGTTACAATGCGGGTAGGCAGAGGCGTTAAGGAGATCACGACGACGCGGGAAGGCTGGAGTGTACGAGATGGTTAGGATGCTGGAATGCAGAGGCGTTAACCGGATCGTGACAATGCGGGAATGCAGAGGCAGGATCGTGACAATGCGGGATCATGACAACGCGGGACGGCAGGACTCAGAGGTGTTACGACGAGATCATGACGATTCGTTTCCTGGCCTTTTCGGAGACGTTTTGTGTTCGTTCATGACACCGTGCTTTAGGCCACGCGAGGGTAGGAACGGCCTTATAGACGTTTTCCCTTGAGCATGATTGGCGACATTTGCTGTTCCAAGGTCGGCTCATCCTCCTCTCGTAGTATGCCTTTAAGTCGAGTCAACCGCGTTACTTCGTGCTCCTGCGTGGTATTTCCCTGTTCCCTTTCCCTTTTCGAAACCCCGTTTCTTCGTGACAGCCGCGGCCGGTTGGTGGCAATTTGTCTGTCTGTCATGGCCTTATGGTATTCTCTTCCGTGGAGCTAGCGGAACATCAAGGGATCCCTGCCGTTGCCTCGCGAGAGTTTTGAGGCGTCTCAGCACGCGTCATTCATGCTCGCCATTCCTACCCCATACCCCTTTCCCCTTCCCTTTCTGTCCGTGACTGACAGCCAAGAATGCATGGAGCAAGCCGAACATCAAAGGCACGCCGCCGTCGCCGCGCGACAGTTATGAGCCGTCTCACTCTCAACACCCATCGTACACTCCCTCTTGCCATTCCCTCCATCCACCCTTGATGCTGTCCAGCCAAAGACGCGTGGAGCAAGCCCAACATCAAAGGCACGCCGCCGTCGCCGCGCGACAGCCACACGAGCACGGTGGTGGGCAGCAGGCTGTTCGTCTTCGGCGGCACAGATGGGTCGTCGGGGCTCAACGACCTTTACATGCTCGATACCTGTGAGTGAGACACCTTGGCGACTCCTTAGCGACTTGATGGCGACAAATGCGACGGTTCTGAATGTACAACCACACGAGCGTGGTCGTCGAGGCTCAACGACCTCTACATGCTCGACACCTGTGAGTACGACTCCTTGCATCTTGTTGGCCGAACCATTAGCGACTCCGTGGCGAATTTTTGCCGACTTCTGAATGTACAGCCACCACACGAGCGCACCTGGGAGTCCCGTGTCTCAGCTCCAAACGGGGGGGCGTCACGCATTTAGGCATGGAATGCCAAGCGGCAAATTCAAGGGCAACTGATCCCCAGATCATTTCCAAATACTTTCAACGCAAGCGCGCTTCTGTGCGTCATGCACGGCCTTTTTCGCTTGTACTGTACAGCACTTACCATACTGCTCCCATTATTCTCGTGCAGGCCCTCTTGTCTCATCCTTCTGGTCCATTATACCAATCTGCCTCAGTCCCTTGCATCCAGATTTCCTCTTTCCCTCATACGCCCGCTCTTCATTTATGTCCCCCTCCTTTCCCCCTTTGGTGCCCGCCCCAATTCGCCGTCGCCCCCCCCCCCCCCCCCCTTCACCCGTTTCTCCCCTTTTTTCCCGCTCTCCCCGCTGCAACCAACTCGTGGACGCGGCTGGCGGCGCAGGGGGACGTGCCAGCAGCGCGCGACTGGCCTCAAGATGTCGCACCGCTCTCAACCCCTCCCCCGTTCCCTGTCCCCCCCCACCCCCCTCCCCCGCAGCAACTAACACATGGACGCGGCTGGCGGCGCAGGGGGACGTGCCAGCAGCTCGTGAGGGACACGCAGCAGCGCGGGTGGAGGGGCTAGTTTATGTGTTCGGGGGGTGTGGCAAGGCGGGCGAGGGGGGAACAGTGGACGAGACGTATTACAACGACGTGCATGTGTTCAACCCTGGTGAGTGCGGGTCAGTACGGCTGATAGGTGGGCAGCACAGGAGGGGCACACAGCAGCACGAGTGGAAGGCTCGTGTTTGGTGCTGGAGTGTAAGACTTATGAGCTCTAACTTTCTCGTTTTACGATGGTGGTGTGAGTTCGTTCAGTCTCGTTCTTGTTCATATGTTTGTGTGTGTGTTTTGCGTGTGCTTGTGCATGTGCATGTATTTGTGCATGTGTTTGTGAATCTGTTGTGCGTGTGTTTGTGCATGTCTTTTGCGTGTGCTTGCATGTGTGCGGTGCAGACACGATGCGGTGGGCAAGGGTGGCAACAACTGGCACGGCACCATCGCCGAGGGACAGCCACAGCTGCTGCGCGTGGGGCAACCAGCTGATTGTGTTCGGTGGGGAGGACTCGCGCAACTGCTACCTCAGTGACGTCTTTGTCCTCGACACCAGTGAGTGCCTTGCCTTGACAGCAGTGAGTGCCTCAGTGCTTTGCCTTGATTCCAGCACCTGCTGTGCTGGCCCTTTACATCAGTGAGTGGGGCAACCGGCTGATTGTGTTCGGCGGGGAGGACTCGTGCAACTGCTACCTCAGTGAGTGGATAAATGGACTGAGTGGGTGTGTCTGACAAATACTAGTGGCCCTTGACACCACTGATTCTGTTGCTGGCCCTTGAGTGGAAAGCAAGGCAACGAATGAATGTTGGCCCCCTTAGACACCAATTTTCATTCCCGTGCCCGTGGCCACTTTCCGCACTGTGCTCCAGGCTCGCTGGTGTGGAGGGAGGTGAGGGCGAGGGGGCAGAAGCCTCTACCCCGAGCGGGGCATGTTGTGGTGACAGCAGGGCGCTACATGGTGGTGTTTGGGGGCTTCTCAGTCAGTTTAGCACAATCTCTTTCCCCTCTCCTCCTCTCCTTACTTCCCTCCTAGGCTCGCTGGTGTGGAGGGAGGTGAGGGCGAGGGGGCAGAAGCCTCTACCCCGAGCGGGGCATGTGGCGGTGACAGCTGGGCGCTACATGGTGGTGTTTGGGGGCTTCACTGATGAGCGCCGCCTCTTCAATGATCTGCACGTGCTTGACCTCTGTAAGCTCTCTTGCTCCACTCACTCTTCTTTGGTACGGTTGTGTATTTTCTTTTTTGTCGAGTAGCAACAACAGTAGTAGGTTCAGTTTTCACCTTTTTTTTTTGGTTCGTCTTGCATGTATTCCTTCTCCCCCCCCCCCCCCCCCTCCCCTCCCCTCCTTCCCCCCTCTCCTCCCCTTTCCCATTCTCGCATTCTTGCTTGCGTGTTCTCATGTTCTGTTTTCATGCATTGCTCAGCATCCTGCTTCATTCTGCATGAGGTGGGTAACTTCACTTCACACCAGTACTCTCCATCCCACAAACTGCCAGCATGGGAGCACTGGCAACAGCACACACAGCCACATGCAACGCTCTTACCTCCCATTATCCACTGCCACCCATTCAGTTTACCCTTCCCTTTCACCATCTCCTTCCCGTCCTTCCCTCCACCAGCATCGGAGCACTGGCAGCAGTACACGCCCACAGGAGACGTGCCCTCGCGCCGCTTCTCCCTCTCAGCTGACCTGCTGGACACAGTGTCGGGCAAGATGATGCTCTTCGGGGGCTGTAATGACGACCTGGAGGCCCTGGAAGATGCCTACTTCTTGCATACAGGTATGACGATGCTTTTGGGGAAGCGTGTGCCTACAGCTAGAGCAGGCCTGTTGGACACAGTGTCGCCGCGCGTGCGGCGGCGGGCCTGTGAACCGATGCCCATGACCAATGGACACATGCATGGGCATGGACCCTGGCAAGGTTGTGGGCGGGGGGCCACCCCCATGGGCATGCGCACCTGGGTGCGTCTGGGATGGGCTACGGCAAGCGCAAGGGCGTACTTTCTTCCTCTGACTCCTCTCCTCTCACTGTAGTCTGCCGGCCCTTGTGTGTCTGTCTGTGCGCCCTCCCTCCCTCCCCCCCCTTTGGCTACAACCAGATTTCGGGTCGCATGCAGTGGAGTTCCCAAGGCCGCGGGTGCGGCGCAGATCCTTCGACTCGATGCCCATGCCCATGGCTATGGATGCGCGCATGGCCATGGACGCTGGCATGGCCATGGGAGGAGGGGCCACGCCCATGGGCATGCGCGGCAAGAGGGGGGAGGGCGCAGAGGGCGTGTGGGGGCGGGGCACGGAGGGTTTGTATGAGGCAGGCGGCATGGAAGATGATGATGATGGGTATAGACGCCCTGCCAGACGCATGCGAGGTATGTGATGAGAGGAGGGTTGTGCAGTGGTTGGGGATGGGGACGGGCGTGTGGGTGTGGCTATAGCGCGGAGGGTGTGTATGAGGCGAGCGACATGGATGATGATGATGATGATGATGGGTATAGGCCCCCTGCCAGACGCATGGGAGGTATGTGGTGAGATGATTTCTGACGCGCCTCAAAAATAGAGGGTGGGGAGTGGAGAGGGCATGTGGGGCCGGGGCGGGCGGCATGATGGGTATCGACCCCTTCCCAGACGCATGCGAGGTATGTGATGTGATGGGTGTGGTGGGAAGTGATGGGTGTGGTGGGATGGGATGGGATGGGATGGGATGGGATGGGATGGGATGGGATGGGATGGGATGGGACGAGAACTTCTGCAGTTATCAGTGCATTTTGGTCCATTGTCATGGTCTGGGATGATTCGTGCATGGGAAACTGCCTCTTGGGATTCTCGTCATGTGCGTACGCAGTTTCTTAATTTCACTGTCCGTATCCCCCACCACACCACACCCTCCTCCTCCCTCCGCTTCTCCCCACCCCCATACACACATCCCCTTCCCATGTACCTCCACTGCAGTGCCCCAAGTCGCACCAGCTCTACCCCCAGGCCTGCATCCAGCGGACCTGATAGCGCCGGCAGGCAGGGAGGTGCCCTTTGAGGCGCAGATAGTCGACGTCTTCCACCTCGGCTACTGCCTGCGTGCCACTGTGGCGGGTAGACCTCTGCATGGGCTGCTCTTCTCCTACGACCCTTCTTTCGCTCAAGCTGCCCTGGCGCGCCAAGCCCAGTGAGTGTGATAGCAGGATCAGTGCTCCTCCTTGCTTCTTCCACCTTGGGTGCTGCCTGCGCGCCACTGTTGCCTGGCACCCCTGCACGGCCTGCTAGTCTCTTATGACCCTCATTTGCCCAAGCTGCCCTTGCTCGCCAGGCGCAGTAAGCAACACCTCTCTCTTGGGCTAGGAGTCTGAGATACAGGTAGTTGGGTTACTGGATTATTTCTCCTCCTCGCACCTTAGGGCCTGCGCGATATTGTGGCTGCCCGGGCCGCTGTTCTGGTTTGAAGACGTCTCAAAAGCCAGGCCGCTGGTAGCCGGGCTGCTGTTCTTCACATACGACCCCTCACTTCATCGAGTAGCTCGTGCACACCAGATCCAGCCAATGATACGTCTCACCCTTCCACCTCTCAATGCCTCACTTCTTATCGTTCCCTGTCTCTCCCTCCTCCCCCCCGTCTTTTTCATCCTCACCCCCGCTCCCTCCCCTCCCCACCCCCCTCCCCCCTACCTGTCGTCCCTGCTCTTTCCCTAACCCAGAAGGCAAGCGGGCACAAGGTCCTCTCGCCAGCCCCCACCCCCTCCGCCGCATCTCACCTTCTCTCCAGAAACGGGTACCCACACCATCACCGTTCCCGACCCCCACCGCCGGAGGTCTTCTGCTGCCGCTGCAGCCACTGCCGCCACTGGTGCCGCGGCTGCTGGTACGAATGCTGCTGCTGCTGCTGCTGCTGCTGGAGCTTCTGGCGCTGTTGGTGGGGCAGTGGGTCATGGTGCACTGACTGCAGTTACATCTCACGGTGGAACTGTGCAAAGCGCTGTTACATCTCCAGCTGTAACACCACCGACAGCTGCTGCTGTGACACAAGCTGATGGGGGGTCAAGAGGAGGGGCGGCAGCGGGAGGAGTAGGGGGAGTTGCGGCAACAGGGGGAGGTGTAACAGGGGGAGGTGGTGCCGGGGTGGCTACAGGGGCTTCGAGAGAAGCAGTGGCTGCTGCTGCACCAGCACAAGTGGCATCAACACCGGCAGCACCCGCAGCAACAGCAGCAGCATCAGCAGCAGCTTTAGCAGAAGCAGCGGGAGCAGCGACGCCACCACCGGCGGCTACTGCAACACTGGGAAATGGTGGTGCAGGAGCTCACATCTCTCAGCAGAATAATGGTGTGGTGGTGGCAAAAGGGCAACAGGATGGTCTGGCAGGAAATCAAGGGCACAGGGAAAGTGGGGGTCAAGGTGGCGTCAGAAAAGTACAAGAGTTGACTAATGGAGGGTTAGCTAGGATGGATATTGATGTAGGTGGAGAGGTCGGCGAGGGTAAGGAAGAGGAGGAAGACGTGGATATCGTCTAAGCGTGGTGTGCTGTAGGCCTTTGTATTCTATATGTTGAAGTCTTATTTGTATAGTAAATCTGGTCTTCAGAACTGTACTGTGATGTTTTGACGAGATGTTACTATATTGGCGCCAGGTTGTGAATCTGGCTAGTGATGTGATGCGACAATCTTGAAGCAAATATCACGCCACGTCAGCCCTTACGTCAACCATGTCCATCACCAGAAAGTTCCTACACGCGAAGCCCTGACGAAAACATCTTAAAAGTAACATGATAGTCGTCACCCTCGTCTAAGGCCGCGAGAGGAACCTTTGAATTGTCGTGAAGGTCTGGTTACCTTGCTGATCCCGTCAGTTTCGCACAGCTTGTATGTTCCCAAGAATGTGGGATGGCCCAGATAGACACGCACCTTCTCGTCCGCTCTCCTACATGTGGAACATTCTTCCGACCATCAAGCGTCCAGTTCCCATTTGCTGATGGTACAAACGCCCATGTCTAGGAATTGCCGAGCTGATGCGCAGCAACAGCTCGTGTTCAGTGACGGTGAATAGAGCAGCTTAGACGGTTCATAAGCCGTAGGACGACACCGCAATTTTCTCCGTCATTACTGTATGTATCCTACCATGCTTCCCTCTGGAGAGACAAGGCGGATTGGGTTCAGAAGCTGATTGGAATTCCATATTCTGATATAATCAGGTCCTTCTCATCTCCATCAAGTGCTCATAAATATAAACAAGACCTGGATTTAGGCTCATAAGGATCTGCCATTATTCAACTCAAAGAAGCCTGCAACCAGTCTATTTAACAGCTTCGGGTATCAAACTTAAGTGCGGCATGCGCGCGACGCCATCCCTTACTGTTTCGCGATCAAGCATGTCAGCTGCAACCCCAGCGCCGCTCCGCGCGTTCACCACACCGCACCGAACCGTACCGCTTTGCCGGCTTCCGTCGATTCCTCCATCCCTCGGAACTGGACTGTGTGGCTGTCCGCGCGCTGCGCTCTGCCAGTCACAGCAGTCTTTGCCCCAATCCCAAAGAAGTTTCCGCCAGTCGCGAGGGCTTTCACCGAGCATTCGTCGAAATGGGTTGTTTCCTGCACTCCCCTTTGCTCGAAAGCTTCTAAGATTAGGTGAGGGGGGAGAATCCGGAGCGACTCTACACCGACCAGTACGTAGGAATGCCGCGGTTAGAGCCAATTCGCAGGGTAGAGACAATTCTGCTTCAACCGAGTCGACTTCTAGTGAATCTGCTTCCGCGGGTGCTAGCCGAGGCAACGATGCTTCGCAAGTCCCGGGGAGGAGTCCCAGTTCGCCGAATCCGGTGCCAAGATCTCGGCCATCCGATCTGGACATCCCGTTCGATCCTGCGATCGACGCGATGGTTGCAGCGGAGATGGCGGGGAGGAAGAGCAACGAGCCGCCTCCACCGGCGGAGAAGGAGGTAACTGGTGCAGGGGATATTTGATCAGGAAAACCATGATCATAATTGCACACATCAAGCTACCTAAGGATGATCAAACGTATGTGTAGTGTTAAGCTCACCCATCTCCATTCCATTATCTGCCACGTGTTGCCACCACCAATCGCAGAGACAAGCCACCCAGCTAGGCACACTGCTGAAGCAGTTCGTCCGCGTGGCGGCACCCTATTGGTCGTCGGAGGACAAGGGACAGGCGCGGCTGCGACTGGCTGCGGTGTTTGTGTTCGCGCTGGGCTGCACTGGCGTCTCCGTGCTTTTCAACTTCTTATATCGAGACTTCTACAACGCTATAGCGAGTATGTGCTCTTCAAATTCCTGTTACCGAGACCTTCTCGCAGCAGCTCTTGTGGTTTGCTCGACCCGTTCCCCGCCCTCTCCCTTCTTATTGCCTTGTTCTTATCCCCCTCACCACCGCCCCCCGTTTCTCCCCCCAATCCCACCAGGCAAGGACGAGGAGGCCTTTCTGCTCTGCGGTAGCTTTTGTGGTTTTCTCGGCCCCTTCCCGCCCTCTTTCCCTTTATGTTTCCTCATCCTCACAATTCCCCCAACTCCTTCCCCCCCTCCCTTCCCTCCCCTCCACCCACCAGGCAAGGACGAAGAGGCCTTTCTGCGGCAGCTCTTGTGGTTTCTCGGAGCCACTGTGGGGGGAGTGCCGGTAGGTGCAGCAGAGGGGGTGTGACGATAGGTGGAATCAAAGAGGTTGTTGTGTAGGGGTAGGTATATTATAGGGGTGTGCTTCAGAGGGTGGTGTGTGCTTCAGAGGGTGGTGCAAGGGGAGGGGTGCAGCGGTGGGTAGAGCAAGGCGAGTGTGGCTGTGGTGGGATATGAGGGATGATTGAGTGAGCGATGGAAGGGTGATTGAGAAAGAGAGAACGATGAGAGGGGGGTGTTGAGGGGTTGCCAGAGAGACAGCTCCGTGGAGGGTGCTGTCTCTCAGGCAGCTTCCCTTGAGTTCGCTTGCTGCTCTGCCAAGGCAAGCACACGCAACCTCCATGTCACGCCGTCCCTTGCTTTCCACCGGCACCAAGCACCTGACCTTTTGCACCAATGCACATCCGTTGTGCATCCACACCCTTCCCCCCTTCTCCGTCCATCCGCCATACCCCTCCTGTCCCCCCGGCGCCTCCACCCTCCCTCGCTGGTTCTTGTGGTCCGGGATTACCTGCGCCGGCAACCACATGTGCCACGTGTCACACGGTGCTGTGCCTTCTACCTCTCCCCACCTCCTCCTTTTCGTCCCCAACCCCCCTTTCCGCCTTCCTTCCCCACAGATGCTTGCTTTCTGGGACTTATTCTGAGGCGCCTCAATAGCACTTTTCCCTTTCCTTCTTCTCCAGGTGTTTGTGTTCCGGGACTACTTGAGAGACACGCTGGCGCTACGGTGGCGGGCGTGGATGACGACAGACCTGCTCAACAAGTACTTCCAGCACCGCACCTTCTATAACATCCAGTCACAGGTGGGTTCGATACAATCACATTTGTTAGAGTCACACACAAGTACTTCCAGCAACGCACCGTCTATAACATCCAGTCACAGGTTGGGTGTTCTCTCGAACGGTCCTTTCATTGATGTATATATTGGGGTACAGGTAATTGCAAGGCAGGCATGAGCTGAGCTATTGCACATGGGACCGACCATTCTGACCGTTCCATTCCCTGCCCTATCTAGCCCTCCAGGGTTGCAAAGCAGTCCCCTGGGTTCAGCACCCCCTCTGCCCCCCCAACCGGCGGGTTCTCCGCTCGTGCCGCCAGATTCAACTTCTTGAGATAGCTGAGCGCCTGTCCCCTCTGCAGGGCGACGGACCAACGCTGCCGGTATTGGTGCAGCATTTTTGCGGCCTGGTAGGAGGTAGGGTCTGCGTTGAAAAGGTTCCTAGCAGCCGAGTCAGCAAGCATCTTGAGGAAGGTGTGGACCTCCTCGCAAGGGCGCCCATAGGTCTCCACTGCTAGTGGGAAGAACCCCACCCACGGTAGGCGCGTCCGGTAGTGATCAATTTTCTTGTCAGCCATCTCCCGCGCCATCCAGCCCCGCCCCTTGGTGGCGTCCTCGTCATGGCTGCTTATTGGGTCGGTAACCGTGACGTCGCAGATGTGTACTGCGCCGGAGGTTCGGTCCCGTATCGCCAAATCCGCCTTTTGCTTATCCACGGGGCAGAAAGCCACTGTCTCCTTATGCACTGTAAACCCCGCATCTTGAGCCATACGTATGCATTCGTCTCTGATTCCGTTGTGTGTGTCCATCCGTCTATGTCCCGTGCCGCAGCGAAGAAGATGGTTGGGTAGCCGTTTATCCAGGATAGCGATCCTGTCACGGCAGTCGCAGCGGTCTGGTACGGGGAGGGGCAGTCCTAGCCGGAATTGCAGAGCGAAGGCAAACAGCTCTGGGGCGAGGCGGAGGGAGGGCATGTAGGGGATGGCGAGGAGCCAATCCCCCGCTCCATATCCTGTGAGCGACAGTAGCCGCTGCGTGTGGCCCTTGAGCGGGTTCAGCTCCATCTGCCTCGATGCCACCACTTGTGCGGCGTAGCGGTTGCCTTGGATGAGCAAGGCCAGGTTGTGCTGCAGCCTGTCTGTTGGCTTAACCCGCTCCGCCGCCAGCAGCTCTATGGCCTCCCGACCTAATGAGGCCTCACATTCGAGGAGCCAGTGCTGTAGCTGGTGCTGGTCTGGTCTGTCAACAGCTGGTCGTGCTAAGGTGCCAGTCAGGTGAAGGCTTGCAGGTCCTGGGAGGGTGCCGAGCAGGTTCTGCGCCTGTACAAAGCTAGCGAGGAAGCTGTATTTTCCCTCCACCGCGGGGTCTGTGAGGCCTATCCCCCCAAGGGATGGCGGCAGAGAAGCCTGTCCCCACACCCTCTGTTCTTCTTCCGCCCCCCTCGAGTGGTGGACGCCGCATGCGTCTAGGAGCGTGAGGAGTTGCGCGTGGGCCCAGCGGGACCATTCGGCTTCAGGAAGGAGGTGGAGGGGTATGGTGCGGGCCAGGTATGACACACGCCGCGAGATGCACCGCGTCAGGAGCAAATTGGCCAGCTGCGGGTTCATTTCAGCAATTTGTGGCAGTGGCGCGGCCATCTTGGCAAGCTGCTCTCGTATGAACGTAGATGCGTCGTCTTCTGGGCCAATGTGGCTGCCCAGGATGCGGAGTCCTTCCACGTTGTATGGGACCCCAGCTGGTAGGATGGACACGTCTTCCAGACTCCGGCTCCAGGCCGAGCACTTCGATGGGTTATGAGTCAGCCCCACGCCCGCCAGCTGCAACGTGAAGTGATTGAATGCAGCTGCGCAGTCTGCCGCTGCCCCGAGAAACGTCACATCGTCCGCGTACGCCATGCACAGGACGGTGGGGAATGCAGCTGCTGTTGTTTTGAGGGCGGGGTGTATCCCGGCAGCAAACAGCAGGGGGCCCAGGGGGTCGCCCTGGCGGACGCCTGCTTGGCTTAGCAGCGGTTCACATCCATACTCAGCGCCCAGGTACAGCTTGGATGGCGCTCCGTAGGAGAGGCGGACCAGCGGCAGCAAATGTTCCAGGTCAGTCCCACGTATGGCCCTGACAATGGCTTCTCGGCTGATACTGTTGAACGCATTCGTTAAGTCCGCTTGCAGGATGAGGGCATTTTGATTCGCGCTCATGTATGCTCGTGCCGCATGGATAATGGCCTCGCTACCTATCTTGACTGCTACCCCGAACTGGAGCGGGAGGAAGAAGGAGCGGGCAGCGTCGGCTATGGCATGTAACGCAGATTTGGCGGCGAGGCGGAGGAGGCACTCGCCAATAGCTATGGGTTTGGTTCCTCCCCCAGGTTTCTCCAAGGCGAGCAGTCTAGATGAGGTGAGTAAGTTGTTGACTTCAGCTGGGAGTGATCCGCGCATAATTGTGTTGACGAGTGCGTGAAGGTGAGTGTTGACTGCGGCATTAGTGACAGCTGCATCTCTGAGGTGTTCGAAAGTCATTCCTGATGGTCCGGCTCCTACTCCGTTTTCCGTTCTGCATAGCAGCTTCGCGAAGGCCGCCAAGTCGATGAAGGTGGGTGTAACAGTTGGGCTTGTGGTCCAGTCTATGGGCCCGTCAGAGGAAGGTGGGTGTTTGGATTTCAGTGCGCCGAGTACCTCAGGCGAGGCTGTCGCCACTGGTGTCGCTTCCAGCGCCATCACTGCTCTGCGCAGACTTCCACGCCGCGCTAAACCCTCTGCTCGAGAGCGCCTGCCTAGGTTGTCAGGCTGGTGGTGCGGGGGAGGTGTGGAGCTGACTGTTGCCAGAGCCGCTTCGAATAAGGCTCCCCACTCGCCCTCGAAGAATTTGCGAAGTCGTGCTGTCACGGCTAGCCAATCGGGCTTCTTAGGGTTGTTCTGGCGGAGCAGCAGCCGTGGTAGGAAGAGAAGCAGGCGCCAGCCTGCGACTGACTCAGGGTTTCGCGCAAGGTGCAGGAGTGGCGTTAGCAGTGCCATGGCGATTTGGATGCGGGTATCCCGCGGGAGTTTTCGTGACAGTGGGGGCTGGCGACTGTCGCGAAGCAGTGTCAGGTCCCAATTTCCAACTTCGCTGAAACGGGATTGGTCCCTTGCCAGCTGCTCAGGCGAGAGTTGGCGGGGAGGTTCAGGGTTCCCGTTTTGTCCAGGTTCCTGATGCGAAATTCCCCCCCTGGTGGCAATGTTTGGGGATGCGGTTCGGTTTTGTGTTGGCCCACTCCTTCGACCCCTTCTTGCTCGCGTCTCTTCCTCCATCTCGCCACTGCCCTCCGTGGATGACTCCACTTCTCCTTGTACATAATCCGCGTCCCGAGTGTCATCCTCCTCATTAGCCACCTCCCTTTCTTGCCTATTTAAAGCCCGACTTGCAGCTCTCTGGAAACCATTCAGTGGTCCGCCGTCTGGCGTCCCTGCGCTACGTCTCCTGACCTCCCTTGCGCCTCTTGCTGGTCGCGCTGACTGCTGAGGCGTCTGTGCGTTTAGTAAAGCCCTTTGCCGTTGAGTTAGAGGAGTTCGCCCAATCCCCACGGTCGTGTCTAATGGCTGCGGAGGCTGCGCAATCTGGAGTGGAGCCCCCTGCTGCTGTGGCTGGAATGGTGGGGAATACCGCAGAGAGCGTTCTGGCCCCCGCTCCGCTCCTTGTTCAGTCTGCTGCGGACCCGTCCCCTGCGGGCGCGTTCTCTGCTGATGTTGGCGGAGTGGTGCGGCCTGCGTGCGGCGACCCTGCCCGATTGTCGCTAACTGATCCCCTTCCAACCGCTGGGGTATTGATCGGTTCGCCACCTCCCGCGCTGGCGCCGATGATGCAGCCGCCCGTCCAAGCTGCCGCCGGGGGGTCTGCGCAGGCGACCGCGGTGGGCGCTGGCTCTGACCCAGTCCGCCCCGCGCCTCCTGGGTCTGCGCCGGCTCATCAGGCGGTGCCTCCCTCCGTGCCACTGGGCCAGCAAGCGGGCTCCGAAAATCAAGTTGTTGCGAGGGGCCACGCGACGTCTCATCGGGGGCGTGGTTCTCCGCGTCGTCGCCCTCACCCTCGTCCCGTTCTGCACATCGCGGCGGCCGTGGCGGCTGGAGGGGAGGTCACGGTCGTGGCCAAGGAAACGCGACGGAGGTGCAGCAGCTGCGCGCCGATCTGCCGTGGATGTTTGCCGCCGCCATGCGCTCCGCGCAGATGGGATCGTCGAACCCGATTGGCTCGGAGCCGCCGCTTGCCGCCGCTGCTGTCCCGGCGCCTGTTGTCGAGCGGGCTCCCGCGCCTCAGCCTGCTGCTCCGCCCGTGTTTCCGCCCGCGTTCGAGAGGATGGCGGCGCATCCGTACCCCGTGCGCCCGTGGGTCCCTCCCGTCGTCGGTATGGAATTTGTGGGGGCGGGAGGAGGAGCGGGGAGGGCGCCGTTTGTCCCCCCGCGCCGCATTGCCGACTTTGTTCCTGCTGACCCCGCTCCTCGTTGTAGTCTGGCCGAGGGGACCTTTCCCCGGCAGATTCTAGTGCCCACGGTGACCCTTGGGCAGCTGTGGCGCTTGGCGGAGTGCCTTCGGGACCTGCTACTGATTCAGGTGAGCGCCCACGCGTCCATTCTGGCGACCCAAGAGAACACTCTTGGTCCTGAATCGCGAGCTGATTCTCTGGCTGCAGCTGGGCAGCTTGCTGCGCTTGTGGCGCCCTTGCTGGTAGCGCCCGTGCGGGGAGGCGCGGCGGTCGGGCAGGTGGACGAAGCGGTCCCTGCGGGTTCTGAGAGGGCACCTGCGGGCTGGGAACGGAGTCCAAGTGATCGGCGCAAGCACAATGGTGCTCCGCCCCCTGTGGAGGACCCTGACGGGGATCCTTGCCGCCCTAGAGGCGGACCAGATGTAGTGACTACTGCCCTACGTGCGTAAACGAGCTGCATGTTTTGCACTAGTTGCTGGTCAAAGTTTGCATGCCTGTATTACTCGTTATATTGTTGCACGGGCGCTTGTGGCTAAACTTGCCGTCCCTAACGCGCGGCCGAAGGCCGCCGGCGCGAGCGCCGTTTTTCCTACCACCAAATGAACTAATGAAAAGAGGAAGGGCCGAGGGGCCCTTATATAGCTAGAGGGCCGAGGGAAGAGGGCCGAGGGAAGAGGTGAGAGGCTAAGTCCTCTCTCTCTCGCTCTCGCGAGCGCCGTTTTTCCTACCACCAAATGAACTAATCTTGCTCTCGCTCTCGCTCTCGCTCTCGCTCTCGCTCTCTCTCTCTATATCTTGTGGTTACAATCACCTTCGTAAAGTCACAAACAAGTACTCCCAGCACCGCACCTTCTACAACATTCAGTTGCAGGTTGCTTGCGTGCACCCATAGATGGTTACAAATACAGTCTGGTTACAAGCACACCTAGTTACCATCACTGCTGGGTGCAGTCACAGCAGGTTGCAGTCGGCACTTGCTGCTTGCAATTGGGCCAGTTAATTCGTGTGGCCTTCCCTTCCAACCCTCCTTGCTCTGCAACCCTTACCTTTTTTCCCTCTCTACATCTCCCCTTCTCCCCGCATCCGCTCTTCCCCTCCTCCCCCAGTCGCTGATAGGCAACTCACATCAACGAATCAACGAGGACGTGGACGATTTCACAACCACCTCGCTCACTTCTGTCTTTTCCCTCGTCTCCTCTCCTCCTCATCTCCCTTTCACCCACTCTCCTCTCTCTCTACACCCAGTCCCTCATAGACAACCCAGACCAGCGACTCAACGACGACATGGACTGATTTCACCGCCACCTTGCTCACCTTCTCCCTTGTCCCTCCCATTTCCCATGTTTTCACTCTCCCCCGTTTCAACTTGTCACCCAGTCCCTCATAGACAACCCCGACCAGCGACTGAACGACGATGTGGACGACTTCACCACCACGTCGCTCACCTTCTCCCTCGCGCTCGTCAACGCCATCGTGGATCTCATCTCCTTCTCCGGCATCCTCTACTCCATCTACCCTCCTCTCTTTGCGGTTCTGTTGGCGTATTCTCTTGGGGGAACAGCCATCAGTGTGTATTTAGGCAGGGTGAGTGGCGGTGCTGGCCGTTGTCAGGTGCTGCTAGGTGTTACTACTGCTTCAGATGGGGAAGGGCATGGCAGGACATCAAAGGGGGCAGCTCGTGAACGCCGTCGTGGATCTCATCTCCTTCTCCGGCATCCTCTACTCCATCTACCCGCCGCTCTTTGTTGTGTTGATAGCCTACTCCCTTGGAAGGACGGCCATTAGGGCGCGATGCATTTGGCGCAATCCCCAAAGTTTGCTTTCTTCAATCAATTTTCACCCTTTTTTGAAGTTCGATTGTGATGTCGGAAAGTTGATTTTATGAGTTTCAAGTCATGGGGCCCGGTTCTGGTAAGTCAAAATGTGACCACCGAGGGTCGAAAAACGAGATTCGACCCTCTCCGAGCCGCGATTACACATGTAGGTTACCCGATGTAGTATACATGGCTCTGACGTGGTCGTCAATTTTTTTTTTGTAGATGTCGTCAAGCTTCACCGGTTTCGTGAAGCTACTGAACATAAGCAGAAATGACCACGCTCGAAAGCACGCTTCGGATGCACGTTCAAACACGCATTTGACCGACTGTCTGGTTACTTGGCTTACCAGGTCGATAATCAAACACTGACCTGGTTCCGTGCGAACGCTTTCGCGACGTTCACGAGTTCAGTAACCAGCTTTTATTCGACCAGTTTTTTAACTTCAATTCAAAAGCACCGCGCCCTTAGTGTGTACCTGGGCAGGGCGAGTGCTGCTTTAGAGTGTGCTGTTTCTGGACGCTTTCTTTCCTGGAACAGACCCCTTCGAACCCTACTTCTCCTGCTGGTAAGAAGGACCTGGGTTTTCTGTTTCTTCGAGCACGCCTAACCTTCCCTTCAACAGTTCTTTGAACCCCATCTCATCCCTCCGCCCCTCTATCCCGCCCACAGGAGCTCGTGGGGCTGAACTTCCTGCAGGAGAAGAAGGAGGCAGATTTCCGCTACGGGTTGGTGCGAGCGCGGGAGAACGCCGAGAGTATTGCCTTCTATGGAGGAGAGCGCAGCGAGACGCGCCTGCTGCTGCAGCGCTTCCGCCAGTCCTTTGCCAACTACGCTGTGAGTGAGCGGATTCAGGCATGCTTTCCGTAACTGTTAAGTGTGTGCAAGGGGCAGCGCCCTGATTTGACTCATGATGCGCCTGCTGCTGCAGCGCTTTCGCCAATCGTTCGCTAAAATGAGTGAGCGGATTCATTTGTGCATGCAGTGGATGTTGGGCATATGGAAGGACATTTTTGGTGCCGACTCATAATGCCACACCTGCAGCAGCGCCTCTGACAATCCTTTGCCAAATATGCTGTGAGTGAGCTCACTGATGTATGCAGTGGGAGTTAAGCGCATGGAAGGGCATCGGAAAACGGTGTGTGTGAGCTGATGATGCATGCATTCATGGAATGGACCACGCAAGCACGCGTGACTGAGTGCCTGCCAGTGCATGCCGAGAACCTCAACGGTGATCCACTTCTTGCTTCTCACCCTACATCCTTCCTCCTTTCCCCCCCCCTTCCTTCCCCCTACTCTCTTCCTTCCCTTTGTAATGCTACAGCGTCTGCTTGTCACCGCTCACAACCTTTACATGCCGCTAATCATTCCTTCTCCTCCACCACCCTCTGCACCCTCCACACAACTCCCCACTCTCTCCCCACACAGCGTTTATTAGTTGTAGGCCGCAATCGCGACTTCTTCACCAGCAACTGCCGCTACCTCATCCAGCTACTGCCAGCACCTCAACCACCCATTATGTGTCCCTCCCCTCGCCACTTCTTCCCCCCCCACCACCCTACACAGCGCCTGCTGGTAGTCGGTCGCAACTTGGATTTCTTCACCAGCAACTACCGCTATCTCATCCAGCTGTTGCCAGCAGCAGTGGTGGCGCCGCTCTACTTCCGTGAGGAGATTGAGTTCGGTGTCATCAACCAGTCCTTCTCTGCTTTCAACCACGTCCTCGGGGACTTCTCGATAATTGTCTTCCAGTTCCAAGCGCTCTCACAGTTCTCTGCTATTGTGGAACGGCTGGGTACGTGTTGTCATGGCTTGGCATGTGTGTGTTGAGGTTTGTGAGGTGCCCGGGAGGGAAGAGGAAGATTGAGTTCGGTGTCATCAACCAGTCCTTCTCCGCCTTCAACCACGTCCTCGGGGATTTCTCGATTATTGTCTTCCAATTCCAAGCGCTCTCACAATTCTCTGCAATTGTTGAACGCCTGGGTACGTGTTGTGAGAATGCGGCACTGCACACTGAACGTGTTTGTAACGGGAGGGAGATTGATTTTGGCGTCATCAACCAGTCCTTCTCCGCTTTCAACCACGTCCTTGGAGACTTCTCAATCATCGTGATTCAGTCCCAAGCTCTCTCACACTTCTCTGCAATCGTTGAACGTCTGCGTACGTGTTGTGTGGCTGCTGCGCTGCACACGCGCAACTGAACGTGTTTGTAATGGGAGGGAGATTGAGTTGGGCGTGATTAACCAGTCTTTCTCTTCTTTCAAAAACGTGCTTGGAGACTTGTCCATCGTACTGTTTCAGCTCTGGGCGCTCTCACAGCGCTCGGCTCGGCCATTGTGGAAAGCAAGGTTAAAAAATACGGTTTCCGAAAATGACGGTCCGTTTTTTACGGTAAAATTTAAAAAATACGGCCGTTTTTTTGTTAGAGAACTCTTATCACCAAGAAAAAAAAGGCAAAAACAAGGTTGAATACATTTTCAATCATGCCCCCACATGCACACAAGCAAAGAGGGGATCGTCCTCTTCTTTAGACGAAAATTACCTTCTGGAACCGTTTTTTACCGTTTTTTACGGCCGCTTTTTACGGTCCGTTTTTTACGGTAAATTTTCAAAAAAACGGTCGTTTTTTTTAACCTTGGTGGAAAGGCTAAGTATGTGACACGTGTGTGACCGTTACAGGGGGAATCACTATATGCAGTAACGATGCACACCGGTGAGTGGTGGGGCCCATCCCAACACTCACAAGGGCTCTCAAAACCCAATGCCCTTGAACTGTGCTGGTAATTCTCCCCTCTCTTCCTGCCGAAATGTCGCTGTCTGTGAAGGCGAAGATTGCGACAACAGTTGAAGGGCATTGGGGTCTGAGAACCCTTGTATTGTAAGATGTGTAAGGAACGTGCGGATGGGGTCTCGTGGACGGGGAAGGAGGGGCGCATGTGGAGCAGTCGCAAAGATGATCTGACCAGGGAGGCATGCTGCTGACCGTTTGACTGGTGGAAGGACCATGGCCCGCATGTGCACATGTGCATGCGGTGCCATGTGGTTTCGTTCTGCCTCATGGCCGGCAGCATTTATCTTCTTGTTCCATGATGGATCCATAGTTTTCAATCTGAATGCCCGTCCTTCCCGTCACTCATTTCGGTCACTCTCTTTAGTGTCACACTACTCACCCACACTCGTCACTCTGTGACTGTCACGCTGTCAGAGCCATACACTTAAACCACTGCTCAGTTTGATTCGCTTCTGATAATTCTCAAAAACAGACCTCTCACGCTCTCACTCTTCCCTCTCACTCATTCCGCTCACTCTCCCCTCTCACCCTCCCCTCTCACCCTCCCCTCTCACCCTCCCCTCTCACCCTCCCCTCTCACCCTGCCCTCTGGCCGCCTCACCAACTACCAGGCGAGTTTCAGGAGGTGCTGGACGACCAGAGCAAGCCAGCCGCGCTGCCAGCCACCTCTGCTGCCTCTGCTGCTTCACCTGTGGCAATTGCCGGCACCACAGACACAAAGGCACCCAGGAAGGATTCCACACCCATGACTGCGGACAGCGAGGGGGAGAGGCCGGAAGGAAGCACACAGGCGACAGCAGCTGAGGCTGCAGCGGAGCACCTGGCATCGTTGTTTAACAGCTTCATCACTATCGAGAATGTCATTCTACCGGCTTCTGCTCCCTCTCTCCCCCCCGCGCTGCTGCCTGCCTCCGCCTCTGCATCCGCCTCCCATTCTTCCCGTGTGTTGCTGGAGGTGGACGGACTCACTCTCTGCACACCACAGTACGCCTCGTGCCTGCTGTCTGGCCTTTCACTCTCCGTCCAGCAAGGGGAGCACCTCCTGGTGAGTGCAGCGAGGAGATCGAGAGGAGCGGCTGTTGGTGAGGGTAGCACCTTGTATTGCTGCTGGAGGTGGACGGACTCACCCTCTGCACACCGCAATATGCTTCGTGCCTGCTGTCTGGCCTTTCACTCTCCGTCAAGCAAGGGGAGCACCTCCTGGTGAGTGCAGTGAAGAGAGCAGCTGTTGATGACCGGTGTAAGGGCAGCAGCTGTTGGTGAGTGGTGAGTGCAGCCAGCGGAAAAGCTTTGGCCCTCCCTTGGCTCCCATCCTTTACCCCCCCCACCCTCTCCCCAACTCCCACCCTTGACTTGATAATGGGTCCCAGCAGCAGCGGCAAGACCTCTCTCTGCTTCTCCTCATCCCGCCAACCTGTTTCCTGCCCCGAACCACCCTCCTCTCCCCCCTTCCTTCCCCCTCACCCCAGATAATGGGTCCCAGCGGAAGTGGCAAGACCTCTCTGCTTCGAGCTGTTGCTGGGCTTTGGCGATCGGGCAGTGGAACGGTCAGAAGATATGTTTATCTGCCCAAGGAGGAATCTGCAGCTGGGAGAGCGAGCGAAGCAGCAACCGCTAGCAGCAACACACAGAACGATTCACACAGTGTGATTACTGAAAGTCACAGCACAAAGAGTGACTCTAACGAGAAAAACAGAGAGCGGAGCGAGCATGGAGCAAGGGGCAAGACAGAGGAGGCAGAGGGGCGAGAGAGTGAGAGGGAAGTGACTGGGTGTGGGTGTGGGTGTGGGTGTGGGTGTGGGTGTGGGTGTGGGTGTGGGTGTGGAGGGCGCGAGTGTGGTGAAAGCAGAGGGCGCAGTGGCTGACGTGGAGGAGGGGGTGATGGACGCGGGAGGGGCGGTGTTCTTTGTCCCGCAGCGGCCGTACATGGTGCTGGGGTCGCTCAGGCAGCAGCTGTTGTACCCCACGTGGAGTGAGCTGGAGGAGGGGGAGGAGGCGGGGCGGCCGGGCGATGAGGGGATGATGGCGCAGAGGGAAGGGGTTGAATGGGGCGAGGGGAAAGGAGGGATGGAGGGGATGGAGGGGAGTATGGAGGGGTGGTGGACGGTGGGGGGGTTGATGCAGCGGTTGGGGATCAAGAAGGATGCAGACAATGGAGGGACAGGTGAGAGGGCGAGAAACATGCGGAGGTTGGTTTCTCTGTCTCTTGCTTTGCCTGCTCGCCTCACACACTTGGCACAATTGTCCTGCCTCCGGATTCCCTTTCCCGTGTGGTCTCCTCTCCCCCTGGTAACTCTACTTCGCGTCCTCATCACTCCACTCAGCCAGCTTTCCTCCTCCGCCTCGCCACTCTCCACTGCTCCTCCCACATCACCTCCCACTGCATCTCCTCGCCCCATAACATGACGCGCCATAGGGAATCTGAAACATCTCACCTTTCCCTTTCCCACTGTTTCCCTTCCCTCTTACTTCTCTCCCCAGCCAGATTCCCCCCCCCCCCCCCACCTCCATCTCCACCCTCGCCTCGTCGCCCCAGAACATGGGGCACCACTGGAAATCTGAAACGTCTCAATGCTACCTCTACTCTACCCTCTAATTCCTTTCCCTCTATTCCCATCCCTCGTACTTCCCTTCCTCCAGCTGGATTCCCCTCCACCTCCATCTCCACCCTCGCCGCATCGCCCCACAACATGGCGCAGTTTTAGCAATATATGACATTTCCGTACTTACTTCCTTTCCCTTCCCTCTTACTTCCCACCTCCTCGCCCCCTTCCCCCCACCCCACCAGCCGGATTCCCCCCCACCTCCATCTCCACCCTCGCCTCATCGCCCCACAACATGGCGCACCGCCCTCAGCCGTCGGATGAGGAGCTCCTGGCCGTGCTGGACGCCGTGAGATTGCGCCACGTGGCGGAGCGCCAGGGCGGGCTGGACGCGCAGGTGGAGTGGGCGAGTGTGCTGTCGCTGGGGGAGCAGCAGCGCCTCGCCTTTGCTCGCCTGCTGCTGTCCAGGCCAGAACTTGCCTTGATGGATGAATCGACGAGTGCTCTCGATGAGGAGAACGAGGTGAGCGGGATGAGGAGAGGGAGTGGGAGAGTGGGAAGGGAGGTGTATTTCGAGGTGAATCAGAGCACAGCAATAAGCAACTAGCCTGCATGGACGGCTCAGCAAGAGCAGAGCGCGGCCTAGAGGCACAGGTGGAGTGGGCGAGTGTGTTGCGCTGGGGGAGCAGCAGCAGCCTTTGCCCGCCTGCTGCTGTCCCGCCCTGAGCTGGCTGTAATGGACGAATCCACGAGCGATTTGGATGAAGAGAACGAGGTGAGGGAATGGAGGAGTGGGAAGGGTCTCATGGGTGGATTTGCAAGGGCTCTTGGTGAAGAGAACGGGGGGGGGGGAGGGGGAATGGACGTGAGTGTATGGGGAAAGTTGAGGTGAGGGGGTGGAGGAGGTGAGTGTGATTATACTCCCACTTGCTCTCATTGACTCTTGTTCTATAGACGGAAGGACACTTCCACTTCTACAGGCGCTCTTGCCCCGCCCCGGCCGGTGGAGGCAGCAAGGGGGGTGAGTTCCATGCCGTGCTGTGGGCCATCGCAGCTCCTGCATATGGTGGTGGTTTCGGTTCTTCTCGAGCAATCCCCGTCCCTCCATTCCTCCAACACTCCTTCCTTTGGAATATGTGTGCGGGTTGGTGGGTGGATGCAGCAGGCGTGACGTCTACTGCAGTGCAGCTCCCACCAGCACTTGTGTGTGATTGTGCCGGTTGCAGCCATGTATGCTTGTGCCGGTCGCAGCCATGTATGCTTGTGCCGGTTGCAGCCATGTATGCTTGTGTCGGTTGCAGCCATGTATGCTTGTGCCGTTTACAGCCATGTGTGCATGCTTATGATTGAACTTCCGTCCCTCCCCATCCCCATCCCCACGTGTGTGGTGGTGGTTCGTACTCTCATGCCATCCCCATCCCCACGTGTGTGGTGGTGGTTCGTACTCTCATGCCATCCCCATCCCCACGTGTGTGGTGGTGGTTCGTACTCTCATGCCATCCCCATCCCCACGTGTGTGGTGGTGGTTCGTACTCTCATGCCATCCCCATCCCCACGTGTGTGGTGGTGGTTCGTACTCTCATGCCATCCCCATCCCCACGTGTGTGGTGGTGGTTCGTACTCTCATGCCATCCCCATCCCCACGTGTGTGGTGGTGGTTCGTACTCTCATGCCATCCCCATCCCCACGTGTGTGGTGGTGGTTCGTACTCTCATGCCATCCCCATCCCCACGTGTGTGGTGGTGGTTCGTACTCTCATGCCATCCCCATCCCCACGTGTGTGGTGGTGGTTCGTACTCTCATGCCATCCCCATCCCCACGTGTGTGGTGGTGGTTCGTACTCTCATGCCATCCCCATCCCCACGTGTGTGGTGGTGGTTCGCACTCTCATGCCATCCCCATCCCTCCCTCCCCTCCCTCAGGCACACGTGTACGGGCTGGTGGAGGCTGCAGGGGTCACCTTCATCAGCATCGGCCACCGCAGCTCCCTCCGCCGCTTCCACTCGCTCCTCCTCACCCTCACACCCTCTGGGAGGGCTGATGCCTCTGCTGACGTCACTGATGATGTCAGGGACAGCAGTGATGGTATCAGCAGTGGGGGAGGGAGTGTGGAAGGGAAGCGGGTGGTGGCACGTGGAACAGGCAGTATGTGGACTCTAGAGAGAATAGCAGACTAGACTGACTTATCAGCATCGGCCACCGCAGCTCCCTCCGCCGCTTCCACTCCCACCTCCTCACCCTCACACCCTCTGGGCGGGCTCACGCATCTGCTGACGTCACTCATGGTGTCGGCGATGGCGTCAGGTGCAGCAGCGATTATGTCAGTGGTGGTAATGGGCGTGAGGAAGGGATAAGGGTGGTGGAAATGGCAGCATGTGGACACTGGAGAGAAATAGACTGATTTGTGCCTGGGGGGGTCCTCAACTGTAACACGTGGGCTGGGGTGGGGAGTTTGCTAAGTACTGGTGGGTGGACGAATGTTCGTTCATTTATCATTATTTTTAGGCTGCTAATTGCGAGACAGGTTTGCTGGGGTGATAGTGATGGCGACGACAAAGCCCACTGGTGCGCCAGCAGAGAACAAGGATGGATTCCTTGTATGGTGCTCTCTGTTGAGCCTAACAGATCGGTTTCATACTAAGGTGCCAATGTTTTATGTCGGCACTTCATTGGTGGCGGCTCCCAAATTCTAATACCGGTTGTGTGCGTATGCTACCGATATGCAATCCGTGCTGCTGTGAGACAACCAGGGGCCTGGTCATCAGACCAAATTGGTCTGATAGTCTAGTTTTCCTTGTTCATCTGATTTGTACCGTAATCACCCGGACATACCACCCGTCGAAATAGAAGACCCCCCGGGTGGCTTGTGCGGGGTGGGTGCTATAGCGGACCTCGTTTCTACTATAACCCCCTTTTGGGCCTATCCGGTATAAGACCCCGGGGGGGGGGGGGGGGGGGGGGGGGGGGGGGGAGATTTTGCTAACTTCGCCTTAAATTGACAGGTGCTCCAAGGATCAAGCTTTTACACATTAATGTCAGCACAAACAACCTACATTTGAGGCCTTAAGGCGGTAACACATCCATCACACAGTTCCTACCTTCTTGCCTCAGTTACTTACAAGCATCTAATGAGAGATCATGCTACCTACTCCTCACCGTCCTTCCTTCCTTCCTGCCATCCTAAACTCCTTCCGTCCTTCTTGCATCTGTTAACCTGCTACCTACCACTACTCATCGTCACCAGCATGCCATTCCTCAACCTCCTCTCCGTCAATGCGGTCAGGGAGCCACCAGTCAGAGTCGGCTTTGCTCCACTCTTCTGCGTCCCTGCCTTCTCCAACCCCGTACCCCTCAGCATCTCCCTCCTCCGCCTCCGCATCCTCTGCGTCCTCATCCACCTCCATGGCGTCATCGTCAGCCTGGAGCACCTCAGCCGGCACGCGGGCTTCCTCGTAGAAGGGGTTGACGACAACCTCGTCGTCAACTAGCTCGTTCACATCCT